GACGGATGAGGAGTGGATTAAGGTGGAGGTGCAGCTCAAGGATCTTATCTTGGCCGACTATGGCAAGAAAAACAAGTGAGCACTGGTGGTGGGGAGATAGATGGAAGAGCCAAAAGGGTGAAATAGCTGGTTTCTGGATTTTTTTAAACATTTAGGCTTAGATATTTCTCAAGAAATTGTTCTGGGAGATACCTGGAGAAGAAAGGAAGGCAGTATCTTCATATAGTGGAGGAAGTGTCTCTGTTTGGGGGCTTTTTTCTGAACCTTGGGCATTGTTTCTCAGCAGAGGCACTGTTGCCATTTTGAGCAGAGTATTTATTGTCCACGCATCACAGGAAGTTTTAACATCTCAGACCCTTAGGTACCACAGCCACACAGTGCACACATACTTTTCTCCCCTCTTCTTTTCTGTTATTGTGGAAAACAAAAGTCTCTGTAGATTTCCAAATGTCTCATAGGTTGGCTGACAGTACCAGCTCTGAGAACATGTTTCAGGGTGGTTGTTTTTTTTGAGAATTGTCCTGTGCTAGGGCACTTTTTATTGAGAAGAGTGGGAAGTGTGCGTGCTGAGCGGGTTTGAACGTGGCTGAAAGGAGCACATGCACAGGGCCATCCTGAGCTGTGGGCATCTTACCAGTGTTAGTGCGTCTCCATGGCTTGCTTCCTTTACAAGTGTCACTTGAGGATTGTCTGGGGTAATGTAGGCTTCTTTGTACCACCAACTTACATTGAGGCAGAAGTGACCAAGGGGAAGGGATCCTTGTGGTGTGACCCACACTGTCCCCACAGTGTGAACGTGGCATCACTGACACAGTCGGAAATTCGTGACATCATCTTGGGTATGGAGATCTCAGCGCCCTCACAGCAGCGGCAGCAGATAGCTGAGATTGAGAAGCAGACCAAGGAACAGTCACAGCTGACTGCAACACAGACTCGCACTGTTAACAAGCACGGTGATGAGATCATCACCTCTACCACCAGCAACTATGAGACCCAGACTTTCTCATCTAAAACCGAATGGAGGGTCAGGTACTGTATGGGGCGAGAGGGGTAGGGATGGGAAGGCCTGCTGGTGCTACCTAAGGTGCTTGGACTGAGAAATGCTGACCCTACCTGTTTGTTTGTAGGGCCATCTCTGCTGCCAACCTGCACCTAAGGACTAATCACATCTATGTTTCATCTGATGACATCAAGGAGACTGGTTACACCTATATCCTTCCCAAGAATGTGCTTAAGAAGTTCATCTGCATATCTGACCTTCGGGCCCAAGTGAGTAAGTGTGCTTGAGTAGGCCGCGGTGTATGCCCAGACATTTTATGTATCTAAAACTCACTTAAGATTTCCTGGAATATAAGGTTTCAAGATTCATGGAAAAGTAAATATAAGTATAGCCAAAACAGCAAGGAGGGTTTTGGCCCCCTCAAGCAGATATCAAAACATTATAAAGTTATGACAATTAAGATAATAGCATTTGGTCAGAATGCTTCATGTGTATATAATAAATATGGTATATCAAGTCTGTAGGGCCCTGGCCGGTTTGGCTCAGCGGTTGGAGCGTCGGCCTGCAGACCAGAGAGTCCCGGGTTTGGTTCCCGCTAGGGGCACGTACCAAAAAAAAAAGTCTGTAGGATTAGGATGCCTTATGATATTGAAGTGATCAGAAAAAGGAATCTAGATCCCTACCTCACACCACTTAAAAAATAAAATCCAGGTGGAGTAAAGATCTGAATGTAAAATATTAAATGAACTATAGAGTATTAAAAGAAAATATTTATTACCTTAGTTTTGGGATAGTCTTTTAAATAAGACACAAAGCACAAAACCACAATCAAAATGAATAACTTGTGTGTGATAAACGGTACCACAAAGACAAACTAAAAACAGAAAGAAAACATTTGCATAACTGTTGATATGAGTTAAGATCTAGAATAGGGAATTCACAGAAATGTATTTTTTTTTCTTTATTTATTTTTAGAGAGAGGGGAAGGGAAAGGAAGAGAAAGATAGAAACATCGATGAGAGAGAACATTGATTGGCCGCCTCCTGAAGGCCCCCCACTGGGGATTGGGCCCACAACCTTGGCATGTACCCTGACCGGGAATCGAACTGGTGACCTCTTGGTGCATGGGTCGATGCTCAACCACTGAGCCACACCAGCTGGGCCAGAAATGTATTTTTTAAAAAAGATAACTGGCCCTGGCCGGTTTGGCTCAGCGGTTAGAGTGTCGGCCTATGGTCCAGAGAGACCCAGGTTCAGTTCCTGCTAAGGGCATGTACCTCAGTTGCAGTTTTTCCCCGGCCCTGGTTGGGTTGTGCAGGTGGCAACCACTCAATGTGTCCCTTTCACGTTGATGTTTCTCTCTCTCTCTCTCTCCCTCATACTCTATCTGAACAAAATGTTGAAAAATGTCTTCAGGTGAGGATTAAAAAAAGAAAAAAAACAAAACTATATAAGAATGGGCAAAGAATATGAATGCAATTCAGAAAAGAAACTATAAGTGGCAAATACAACATGAAAAAATGCTCCCCCTTACTAGTAATCAGAGAAATTTATGTGTTATAAAACACCGTTTATGGCCTCTGTTTGGTAAATTTGAAAAGATTGTTAATATCCACTGGCCGGTGTGGTTCAGTGTTTGAGCATCCACACATGCACCAAAAAAGGTCGTTGGTTCGATTCCTGGTCAGGACACATGCATGGGTTGCAGGCTTGATCCCCAGCAGGGGGCCTGCAGGAAGCAGCCGATCAATGTTGATGTTTCTCTCTCATCCATATTTCTTATCTCTCCTTCTCTAAAATCAGTTTTAAAAAAACATTAAAAAAAAAAAAAAAAGATTGTTAATATCCTCTGTGGGTGAATTTATAGGAACACAAGTCTTCTTAACTTTGTTGATGGCAATGTAAAATTTAAAATACCACCTAGTGCTGGTTTTAAAGATGTTTTCATGAGCTGTGTGCTCATTTGTTTATGGATACTAAAATAATCAAGTGGGGAGCATGTGAGCAGTGCACATTCCTGGGCCCCACTCAGGGGAGAGTCTGATGTGGTAAGTCTGAGATGAGGTCCATGTTTAATGTTGTGAACAAGTACCCCAGGTGATTCTGATGTGGTAGATTCTGACCACATTTTGAGAAACTCTTATCCTTGTTCTTGAGGAAGGGGAGGAAACACAGGGCTAAGGGCCCAGAGTCTAGGCTGGTACTAAGAATCATTTTGGTTCTTGACCTCCTTGTCTCCAGATTGCGGGATACCTATATGGGGTGAGCCCACCCGATAACCCCCAGGTGAAAGAAATCCGCTGCATTGTGATGGTGCCACAGTGGGGCACCCACCAGACTGTGCACCTGCCTAGCCAGCTGCCCCAGCATGAATACCTCAAGGTCAGTGGGAGAACAGGGGCTTTCTGCTGTCCCAGTCGGGGAGGGAAGGCATAAATGTTACTCTTGTGGGTGGGATTTCTGTCTGCAGATAGGGCTTTAAATAGTTTTTCACTGCTCTTTGCCTATAGGAGATGGAACCCTTAGGTTGGATCCACACTCAGCCCAATGAGTCCCCCCAGCTATCACCCCAGGATGTCACCACCCATGCCAAGATCATGGCTGACAACCCATCTTGGGATGGCGAGAAAACCATCATCATCACCTGCAGGTGGGCTTGAGCGTACTTGGGAGGAAGTATGGTGGGCTGGCACCGCAGACCAGGGCCCAGAATGGTGGCCTAAGCTCTCACTTGATCCTCACCCCTCTTTCAGCTTCACACCAGGCTCGTGCACACTGACAGCCTACAAGCTGACCCCCAGTGGCTATGAATGGGGCCGCCAGAACACAGACAAGGGCAACAACCCCAAGGGCTACCTACCTTCGCACTACGAGAGGGTCCAGATGCTACTGTCAGATCGCTTCCTTGGCTTCTTTATGGTCCCTGCCCAGTCCTCCTGGAACTACAACTTTATGGGTAAGTAGGGAAGCAGAGGGAAGTGGGGATGGAATTAGGCCATCATCCTTAGTACTTTGGGCCTGACTCTGGTTTGGAGATGGCCCAGGGGTCCCAGATGGGTGAGACAGGTGGACCTTGTTAACGTTGGACGTTTTCATCTACCCAAAGGTGTACGGCATGATCCCAACATGAAGTACGAGCTGCAGCTGGCAAACCCCAAAGAGTTCTACCATGAGGTGCACAGGCCCTCCCACTTCCTCAACTTTGCCCTTCTGCAGGAGGGCGAGGTCTACTCTGCGGATCGAGAGGACCTCTACGCCTAGTTGTTTCCTCACCTCCTCCTGCATCAGACTCCCCAAAGGCTGGAGCCTTTTACCCCCATAAACGAGCTGGTGACATTCAGCAGCTTGGCCCCTTTTTCCTCTTATTTTATGCTTGTTGTGTTATTGATCTCCTGGTGACTTGTAGTCCTGAACAGAGTATAATAATAAATTTTGTATAAATTGGAGTTTTTTAATTTTTTCCCCCCGAGCTCAAATTCTGGGTGTAGGATTGGTGGGAAGCTGGCCTTGCTAACAGCAAGGTGCTGGGCTCTACTTTGAAGGGGAAGGAGGACCCCTATTCAGGGCCTGTGGGGCTAAATAATCCCCTACACTCTGGGAACTGAGATGGGGGTTGGGCTTTCACACTCCTACCACTTTGACCACATTTACCAATTTTGCTCCAAAATACTTGCAAATCATGACTCCTTTTCAACATTCCTTGGAGCAGTTGCTGCCATTTCCTGAGTCTGGAAGCTTGTAGCTTGCTCTCTGCAGCTTTGGTGCCCAGGCTAGCCTCTTAAGCTTTGTGTCACTCCTGGTCAGGGAAACAGGCACATGCCTGGACTGTTGGCTTTCTCAGCCCTCCTACTTCTCAACTCTTGCCTGTGTTTGGCAGCTCAGTGGGGCCCCGTGACTCCAGACGTAGGGGTGGAGCCTAGATTAGGTACTGGGGAGGAGCTGACGAAAGTGACTACTTACAGCCCTGAGCCTCAGCTCTTGACCGCCTGGCTGGAGGTTGGCCGTCCTTTTTCCTGTGACCTTGGGAACTCTAACCGGACAGGACCCAGGAGGCCTAGGAGGCCCAGGGCACTGTCTCTCCCCCACGCTGTTTTCTTTCATCGCCCCTCCCCTGTCGCTTCTACCCCACCCTCTACTGCCCTAAACTGCTTCCTGGGCGGGAACTGTTAGGCTTTTTCCTGCCCCAGTTGGGGGGCGGTGACTGTCGCAGCCCCTGGCCTTCAGGGGCTATGGAGCCCAGGAGGGCGGCGCCTGGGGAGCACGGCTGGGGGCCTCGCGTGGTCACGGGGGTGGAGACGGCCGCAGAGCTGGTATACCATCTGGCGGGGGCGCTGGGCACTGAGCTGAAGGAGCTGGCACGCCGCTACGGGCCGGAGGCGGCGGCGGGGCTCGTGCCTCTCGTGGTGCGGGCGCTAGAGCTCCTGGAAAAGGCTGCTGTGGGGCCTGCTCCTGACTCGGTGAGTCACTGCCCACTCCCTGTGCCACCCGCGCGGTCGGCGGGGCCCAACCCTGAGAGCCCGGACTCCCCAGCTGCAGGTGTCGGCGCAGCAGGCCCAACTGGAGCTGCAGCGGCTGCGGGAGGAGAACGATCACCTCCGCAGAGAGCTGCGCTGCGGGCCCCAGGGTGAGTGGGGTTTGGGGGGTTGGACCGGCTCAGGGCCCACCTCCCGCGAGCCGCCGCGGCTGAGAACACCCCTTCCTCAGAGGAGCGCGCTCTGCTGCGGCAGCTCAAGGAAGTGACGGACCGACAGCGTGATGAACTCCGGGCGCACAACCGTGACCTGCTGCAGCGCAGCCAGGAGACGGAGGCGGTGAGGCCGGGCAGCGGCCACGGGGCGGGGCGGGGCTCCCTCGGCGCCCCGCCCACCAGTGCTACCGTTCGCTTCGCCCCCAGTTGCAGGAGCAGCTGCAGCGCCTCCTGCTGGTGAACGCGGAGTTGCGGCACAAGTTGGCGGCCGTGCAAACCCAGCTGCGATCCGCACGGGACCGCGAGCGCGAGCGGGAGCTGCGGTGGGAAGGGGCTGTGGAGCTGGCCCAAGAGCGGGCACGAAACCAGGCCGGTGGGCCTGGGTGTGAGCAGAGGCAGGAGCCTGAGCGGGCTGCTGACGGAGCAGGAGTCCATGGGACCCCTGAGGACCCGGTGAGTGCCCGCTGAGGTCGGGGACCTTCCCCAGGACTCACAACGGGAAAGGTTTACTGTGCTGCACAGCAAGTCAGCGGGAAGCTGGAATGTAGCATACAAGTGTGTGCCCCGCCGGCCTCTGTCCCACTCACCTAGAGCGCGGTCTGTGATCTGTCGTTGCGCCCCCTTGCCTTCCAAGTCTTCCTGCCGGTTACTTCCTTTAGCATTCCCGTGACAACCCAGGGGCAGAGGGGCGCCAATCAAGGCACCCCCCTGACCAAGCCTGCCCTTCTGCTGGGTATCCACCACAGCGTCCCTCCAACATAGGGCAGTGTGGCTTCAGTCGAGAGGAGCTTGAGCAGATCCTTCAGGAGCGGAATGAGCTCAAAGCCAACGTGTTCCTGCTGAAGGAGGAGTTGGCCTACTTCCAGCGGTGAGGGCGCTGGGCAGGAGCTGGGAAGCTGACGGGCCCCAGTCACACCTGTTCCTGGGCCTCAGATCACCTGCCTCATTTATTGGCTCATCGATGTATAAACAGTGACATGTGCCAGGCACCGGGAGGACACAAATCACACAGCCCCTTGTCCCTCTGGAACATCATCCAAATGAGTGAGGGGACAGTGCAGGGGGTCACAGAAGCATCAGCAGTAGTCAAGGAAGTATTCCTAGGAGTGGTGACACCTAAGCTAAGGTTTGAGGGGTGTTAGTAAGGCAGAGTATTTCAAAAAGGGGTACTTTAGTGTGAGACTTACTGTTGGCATCCCGTCACCTTTTCCCTACCCTTTCCTCTCCCCTGTAGGGAGCTGCTCGCAGACCACAGGGTACCTGGACTTCTGCTGGAAGCCATGAAGGTGGCTGTCAGGAAGCAGCGGAAGAAGATCAAGGCCAAGATGTTAGGGACCCCAGAGGAAGCAGAGAGCAGGTAAGTCGCAGCCTTCATTCGCACTGAGCCAGCCCTCCCCCTCTTGTTCTGCTGAGCCTGATGACCCAGCCTAGTCATGTTCTAACCTGGTCTAGCTCCTCCTAAGTCTGCTGACCTTCTCTGGTCACCCAGTTTAGCTTGCTGACCCAATCTGGTCACCTTTTGAGTCTTTTGTCTCAGACGGAACCTATCACCCCAGCCTAGTCATGAGTCGACCCTCAGTGAGCCACACCAGCTGGGCCCCTAAGCCTATTTTACAGCCTGCTCTGCTGAGCCTGTCACTCTGGCCTGGTCACCCCCTGAGCCTGATGTCCAGCCTGCCCTGCTGAGCCTGTCACTCTGGCCTGGTCACCCCCTGAGCCTGATGTCCAGCCTGCCGTCCAGCCTGCCCTGCTGAGCCTGTCACTCTGGCCTGGTCACCTCCTGAACCTGATGTCCAGCCTGCCCTGCTGAGCCTGTCACTCTGGCCTAGTCACCTCCTGAACCTGATGTCCAGCCTGCCCTGCTGAGCCTGTCACTCCGGCCAGGTCACCTCCTGAGCCTACCATCAGGCCTGTCCTGTTAAACCTGCCATTCTTCCTTGGTCACCCTTGGGCCTGCTGATCTGGTCTGGTCACCCCCTGAGCCTGCTGTCCAGCCTGTCCTGCTGAGCCTGTCACTCTGACCTGGTCACCCTCTGAGCCTGATGTCCAGCCTGCCCTGCTGAGCCTGTCACTCCGGTCAGGTCACCCTCTGAGCCTGCTGTCCAGCCTGCTGTCCTGAGCCTGCCAGCCTTCTCTCTGAAACTCACCGCTCCCATTTGTCATGACTGCTGTGCACCCTGCTGAAGAATCCTGCTAATGCTGCTTTTCCACATTCATTCTTCGGTTCCCTGTCTTGGCTGTGTCTGTTCTCAGAGGGATAGGACTGTAGTTATAGGGTCCTCCATAGAAAGCCAAAAGGACTGGGTTCAAAGAGCTCCTGGGTTGGTGAACACATGTCGATGCTGGGCTAATGGTGGGCCTGAGGAGGGCGGGGAAGCCCTGTGCCCTTGCCCCATACCTTGCCCTGTACATCTCTTCACCTGGCTATTCCTAAATTATATCCCTTTATAATAAATCAGTAATCCAGTAAGTAAAAAAACAAACAAAAAGACTATAGCTGCCATCTTGTCAGGGGCTTGCTGACCTTCAGGCTATAAAATAAAGTCTCAAGATGTCCATTTCCCTAGTGTCTCCTCCCGGTCTTGGGGGCCCTGTTGTCACTCTGTCCTCCCCTGCCTGCTCCTGGTGTCTGCACAGAAGGCTGACCTTAGCTGCACTCCTGTTGTCCCTCCTGGCCTTGATAAATGACCCTCACCTCTTTCCTCTCTCCTCTGCCTCAGTGATGATGAGGACGGCTCATGGCTCCTGCTCTCCAGCAATAAGGGAGATTACCCCCCACCCCCCGAGTCCAGAATACAGAGTTTGTATGTTGGGGAAGAAGAAGGGCAAAAGTGGTGGTGGGGGAGGGAAGGGGCCCCACCTTGGTACTTTTCAGCATCCCCTTTCCTACTCCCCTGACCTGACGCTCACCCTGCTGTCCTGAGCTCTAGGGGTACCCCTCCCCTGCTCCTCTGCCCCTGGCCCTTGTACCTCCCCGCTCCCTCATGCTACCCTTTCTTCCTACTAGATCCCCTTTTCTCACCACCCCTCGTCCTCGGCCTATGTACTTGATCTCTCTGGCATCCAGCCTCAAAGTACCTCTTGGTTCTCCCCCCAGCTTTGGCCTGTGTTATCGGGGTGAAGCAGAGGCCCCTGAAGCCAAGACCAGCAGCACAGCTCCCAGCAAGCCAAGGGGTGAAGAGGCCCCACAGAAACCTCAGTTGGAACCTCTGGACAGCTCCTGACTGGCCCTGCTCAGCTCTTAATGAACATCTTTGTCTGGGGGTCTCAGGTGCCCCAGAGGCCTGACCTTGGAGTCTGACTATGGGTGGATGTGTGACCTCAAAGGAGGACAGGGCTCCCTCCTTCCCAGCCCTCCCAGCCTCTTTCCCAGTCTTGGCCTGGGTCAGAACGGGACTGGAGGATCAGCCTACCTTCCTCCCCTATATCTCAGAGCTAAGCCTCGGGGGTCAGGTAAAAGTGCTTCCTCTCTGAGTTTCAGTTTCCCCATCCACGAAATGGAGAGCTGACCACCTACCTCCCAGAGATTTGTGCGGATTGCCTAAGCTAATGCAATAAAGCACCTGCCATGATACCCAGAAACTGTTCCATGTCTGTCTGTCAGTGATCTGCCCCCCTTCCCGCCCTGCTGGGCCAGGGTGAAGGCTGATGCCTAACTGGGTGGAAAGGCTTCTCCCAGCTTGGGCCTTGCTGAGGAGTATGACCTAATGGAAAACTGGCTCCCCACCTCACCCCACCCTCTCACCCGTTCCCAGTACCCCAGGACTTAACAGCTTCACCTTCCTGCCCCCTCTCCCTTGAAACCAGCCCCCTAAGCCCTCACTCAGCGCTGGTGATGGCTGTCCCTTCTCTCATTTTCTGGTATTGTGATCTTTCCTGAACCATCTTCCCCACCCTCGCAGGGAGGTGCCTCGTGGCAGCCCGCCCCTGGGGCCTGGTTTCCTCAGGAAAAGCCCTAGGAGGAAACAGGGAGGGGGTTGGGAGCTGAGGGCCAGGCTAACTCCAACCCTCACTGCACTGGCTGCCATGGGGCTGAGGCTGCTGCTCCCTGTGCTGCTGCTCTGGACTCAGAGGACCCAGGGGTCTGAGCTGGACCCTAAAGGGCGGCATGTCTGTGTGGCCAAGAGGTGGATCTTATGGGAGTCTGATGGGTGGGGGCGGGGCGGGTTGAGCTGGTGTTGAAGCGTGGGTAGGGGGTGGGGGGAGTGAAGGGAGAGATCATGGGGCTGACGGAAGGGAGGCTTGGGACAGCCTGGAGGGTGGTGGATAATCAGGACAGGTGGTGGAAAGGCCGGGAAGGAGCAAGAAGGGGTTGTGGTCTGCGGGGCTGTGACTCTCAGCTAGGCCTGCCTGATGGGGCTGAGGCAGGCTCCCCCATCTCAGCCAGAGACAGTGATCCACCTTCGAAACCAGGCTGTTCCCCAGCTGACCCCTGTCTGCCCCACAGCCCCTCTGCTGAGCTCCAGTGCTGCCCGGGCTGGACGCAGAAAGATCGAGAATGTACCATTCGTGAGTAGCCAAGACCAATCCCCACCCTGCTGTGGGGCCCCTTCTTGACCCCTTTGCCCAGTGACCTTCCTACCCTCCTGGGGGGCCTGTTTCCCCTCCTGAGCCATGGAGCTAGGGTCCATCCTGTGACACACCCACACCCAGCCCTGAGGGGACAACTCTTGAGGGGGCAGGGAACCGGGAGCCAGTGAGTGGGCAGTGTCCCCTGGTGAAGTCCCAGGCCTTCTGACCTGAGTGGGTATTTTTCAGCCATCTGTGAGGGGCCCGATGCCTGCCGGGAAGATGAGGTGTGTGTGAAACCAGGCCTCTGTCGTTGCAAACCTGGATTCTTCGGAGCCCAGTGCAACTCCCGTGAGTCCTGAGTCTCCCTGGGGCAGGGGGAATGAAATTGTTGGGCAGAACTAGGAGGGCAGGGAGGCAAAGCAGGTAGGACTGTCATCTGGCAGGGCCAGAACCTCTCCAACCTTCACTGAGGAAATTGAGGCCCAGGGACAAGAAGTGACACTCCTGGGAGATGCTGAGTCATCTGGTGTTTGCCCACATCCACAAAGCCCTACACACAGTTTCAATTCTGGGCCCTTCACCTTCCTTCTCAACTCAGCAAAGATGCTGGCATTTCTTGTTCATTGCAAAATGGGTGCATTCTCAGTCTCCCCCACGTATAACCCCACGTATGTGTGGAGGGTGGAAGGAGAGCACCGGCCAGGCTGTCTGCCTTCTCTGGCAGAAAAGAAGGGCATGGGAAAGGGGTTGGTAGGCAAGATAGTCAGAGGGTAGCCTTCAGGAGTCAGGATGGAGAGGGGACACTGGGAGGAAATGAGGCTTTTCCTGTGACCCTGATAGGTAGCACCCAGGCCTGCCAGGCCCAGCTCATCTCCAGCCCAGTGGAGGAACCCGAATGAGAGGGAGTAGGGGGCATGAATGAAGCCCCCCCAACACATACACACTTCCGTGTGACTCTGGGCAAGCCCCTTCCCACCCGGGATCTGAAAGAGGGAGGCTGGATCACTGTTACGGGGTTTTGAAGTTCGGAGTCTGGGTCAGGAAATGAGCTTTGCCCCAGGAGGATATAATGCCAGATGTTCCAAGGGTCTGATCCTGGATCTTGGAGGATGGGCTTGGCACCCCTCTGTTGTGGAAGGGGGTCCACAGCCTGCATCCTTGCCAGGTCTGAGCCCCTGACCCCCTTCCATCTCTCCTTACCCCCTCCTTTCCCTGCCCTGCAGGCTGCCCGGGCCAGTACTGGGGCCCCGACTGCCGGGAGAGCTGCGCCTGCCACCCCCATGGCCAGTGTGAGCCCGACACTGGCGTGTGCCACTGCCAAGACGACCGCTGGGGCAGCCGCTGCGAGTTCAAGTGCACTTGCAGTCCCCATGGGCGTTGCGATCCGAAGACCGGCAAGTGCCACTGTGAGCCCGGTTGGTGGTCAACCACGTGCCACCACTCGTGCCAATGCAACCCGGTGGCGGCGCGCTGTGATCAAGCCACGGGCAACTGCCTGTGCAAGGCGGGCTGGTGGGGCCGCCGCTGCAGCTTCTCCTGCAATTGCCATGGCTCCCCGTGCCTGCAGGAGTCGGGCCGCTGTGCCTGCCAGCCGGGCTGGTGGGGCACCCAGTGCCAGCAGCGGTGCAAGTGCGTGCGCGGTCACTGCAGCGCGACCTCGGGCCAGTGCGCCTGCCCGCCTGGCTTCCGCGGTGCGCGCTGCGAGCTGCCCTGCCCCGCCGGCCGCTACGGGGCGCAGTGCAGCCACAGGTGAGGGAGGGGGGCAGGGTCGGGTGGGGCGGGCCCGGGGCGCCAGGGAGAAGCGGGAGAAAGGTAGGGGATGGGAGGGGGAGAAGGAATTAGACGGAGTGTGAAGGACAGGAGGTGAGGGCTCAGGGGGAAAGTTGTGTAGTGCTCTCCATAAAAATCTACACGAATGGGATGAAGACCCTCCGTGCCCTGTGGTCCCTCCTCCCACATCCCTTTCTTTTCGGTTACTGTTTTTTTTTTTTTTTTCCTTCCATTTTTTGTACAGATAGAGTGGGAGGGAGAGAGAGGAAGAGAGAGAGAGAGAGAAACATCGATGTGAAAGGGACACATCGAGGGGCTGCCACCCGCACGACCAACCAGGGCCGGGGACAAACTGCAACCGAGGTACATGCCCTTAGCGGAACCGAACCCGGGTCTCTCCGGACTGCAGGCCGATGCTCTAACCGCTGAGCCAAACTGGCCAGGGCTCGGTTACTGTTAAACAACAAAAAATACTAGTATAGCAAGCCACAGTTAGAAACAGGTAAAGAATGAGTCATGTGACAAAATGATTGCATGATCCCTCTGAGATTCAGTGACTTCAAACTTTGATACCTTTACATCCCACCTAACACACACACACACACACACACACACACACAAGTAAAAGCTTAACCAGGCAGCACATTTATCTTTACTACATATATGATATATAATATGTAATATGTAATATATATATATTACTGTAATGTTTATATATATATAATACTGTAATGTTTCCTGTTCTCTCTCTCTTTTTTGTTGTTGTTGCCGGTTGGGATCTGCTAAATTGATTTTATGAACTCCTCCCCTCACCCCACTAATGAGTCTGTCTAATCAAAGCATACGATCCCAGATAATTAAGTATCTGAGGGGGAAACTTCAAGTAACTGTTAGGGATCAATGAAAAATTAAGATAATATAAATCTGAATTGTAAAAGTGCTAAGAGAGTAGATCCTAAGAGTTCTCATCACAAGGAAATTTTTTTCTTTCTTTTTTTATATGAGATAATGGATATTAACTAAACTTCTTGTGGTAATCATTTCACAATTATGCAAGTTAAGTCATTATGCTGTACACCTTAAACAGACAGTGTTGTATCTCAGTTATATCTCAAGAAAATGGGGGGGGGGTTTCAAAGATAAAATAAACTTGAAATTATAGTGATAAAAACAGACATTAAAAGCTTTAATTTGTATTAATTTTCATGTTATGGGATAGGAGATGCACTCCTGAGGCCATCCCTGCCAGTCCTCAGGATAGCACGGGTGGAAGGGTGGAGGGGTGCTGGGCAGAGGGAGGCAAAGGTTGGGGTGGTAACTTGGCTGCTCTGGCTGGATTGGTAGCTCCTAGTGACCCTGGGGCCCAGGGAGGGATGAGTCCCGGAATGGGGGGTTAGAGGGAGAGGGCTGGAATCCTAGAGTCTGTAGAGATTATTTATCCAACCTCTTTGTAGTACATCATGGGGAAGCCAGGGCTCCAACCTGCCTGAATGACTTAGCTGGGACCTGGATGCTCTCCAGTGCCCCTGGAGGCCTGGGTGGCACTCCATCCATTTGCTGGGAGAGCTTCCCAGGAATTTCTCTTCCCAGATGTGGCCACTGCAAGCAGAATGAGCCGTGCTCTGCGGACACAGGCAGCTGTGAGTCTTGTGAGCCAGGCTGGAACGGGACCGAGTGCCAGCAGCCCTGCCCACCTGGCACCTACGGCGAGAGCTGCGGGCAGCAGTGCCCCCACTGCCAGCGTGGGGAGGCCTGTCAGCCAGACACGGGGCACTGTCAGAGCTGTGACCCTGGCTGGCTGGGGCCCAGGTAAGGGGCCAGCCTGCTCAGTGTGGGGTGCACCTTCCTTCAGGATCCTCACCCCAGCTGCTCCCTCTGGGATGGACGTCCCCTCCCCCAAACACATTCACACAACGCTCTGGGGCCTGCCCCCTGGCAAAGGCTGAGGGATGCTGATGAGGCCCTGGGCAGGGTTCTCTTCCAGCTCCCTGCCACTCAGACTTCTTGCTCTTCTCCTTTCAGGGAGCTCTAGTCTGTCACCTATTGGGTTTGGCCCCAGCTTCAACACCTGTCTGTACCTGAGCTTCATTGCTGAGGACCCACAGTTGGGTCTGAGTCCATGGGGAAAGATGGGTAGGGCCCCTTATGGGGGCCGGCCTGCCCTGTCCCCCATTCCAAGTCGTGCCTCACCTCAGGTGTGAAGACCCCTGCCCAAGTGGCACCTTTGGGGAAGGCTGTGGCTCAACCTGCCCCACCTGTGTTCAGGGGACTTGTGATGCTGTGACTGGGGAATGTGTCTGCAACGCTGGCTACTGGGGACCCAGGTGAGGACTGGGGCCCTGGCAGAAAGGTAGGGGCCTAGGTCAGGCCTCTATTCAACCTGTTTCCTTAACTTCCCTTCCTGGGATTCTCCCCATATACCCACCCAGCTTCCTCATAACTGAGAAGTTCTTCCCGCTGTGAGCTCCGCATCTCCCACAGGAGGGTCAGAGTAATGCTTAGTGCAAAAGGCCTGGCTCCCTACCTAGATGGGGATTGTTTAGGGGTAGGGCCCCAAGCCCCACTGTTGTTTCCCTAAGGTCTTCAGGTAGTGAAACATAATCCATGGCAATGTCTCCAGTCTCAGGTTCTCCACCTCCGGGACAGAATCTAGTATAATATGGAAGAGGCCTCATTTTATAGAGGAGAGAACCAAGGCCCGGAGAGTTAGGGGCAGGACTGGACCTGGCTGACTTCCAGACCCTGAGGAAGTTGGCATTTCGCTTAGTTCATGTTAGTGCTGGGTGGGTAAGGGGTGAGGATCACGAGAGGTGGATCTGCCGAGGGTTACGCCTGGGGCTGGGGACCAAAGGACAGCTTGTGGGTAGTCCCCCTGGAAGATGGGCTTAGGGGCTGAGGTATTCTCCCAAGTGCTACCAGGGGTACTGAAAATGTGGTTCAGGAGCAGGAGAGGTCTGCCCAGGCATCACCCAGGGGAGTCTGAATGGCAGGGGTGGGAAGCAGTGCCCAGAAATCTACCTTCCCCTACCCTGCCCTCCTCCATCCCTTCTCACCCAGCCTTTAACCTGTCTCTCCTTGTCACCCCACAGCTGCAACACCTCATGCCCATCTGGCTTCCATGGAAACAACTGCTCTGTTCCCTGTGAATGCCCAGAGGGACCCTGCCACCCTGTCTCTGGGGACTGCCAGCTGGGTAAGGTAGAAAGGAGGGTACAGGGGACAGTAACAAGGGAAAAACTGGCCCTTTACTTGGGCTCCAGAAGCTCATCATTTGCCAGGGAGGCTGCGCCCGCTTCAGAGACATTTCCTATGCCTGGAGTCTGTATGGATGCTTTGGGGTCCCCTGAGAAACTAGGCTAGTAGCCAGGAAATGAGCAGGTAGGGATGGACACTGGGGTGTGCATCAGGCATGAGAAGTAGGGGCAAGGGCTTGTGGAACAGACCGTGGACCTTCAGAAGGGGACAGACCAGCTTGGCAGCTGCCTGGAGGAGGGGGCCTTCGGCCTGAGCCAAGTCTACGTCTCCCAGAAGAGACACCCACAGGTGGAAGACTTTGGGGAGAAAGCAACTCAGCTGGAGATGAGATGTGGATGGGAGATGGGCAAGCCCTGAATGTCTGACCGTTGCTCACTCCCCATAGGGTCTCACAGTCAGGATGCTGCCCTCATTGCTGGCATCCTTGTGCCTCTGCTGCTGCTCCTCTTGGGCATTGCCTGCTGTGTCTGCTGCTGTTGGGCCTCCCGGCTGGACCCCAAGGACAGGTAAACACTGGCTTTCCATTTAGGGGCGGGGCAGGGCTGGTCTTGTCACACCGTTAGGTCAGAATTGATGGGGTAGCTGGCAGTGGCCATGGCCTGGAGACATCAGGTCAGCCGCTTGCCTTCTTCAGAAGCCGTCAGTAGGAGTCACATGAGCAGGGTGGCCAGGCTAGTGAAACCCAAACCCCCTGCAGGAGGCTGAGGGTGCACTAACAGGGACCGGAGACGGGGGTGGATAGGCTGAAGCAGCAGGGCAGCTCTGGGCTGGGAGCGGAAGAGACCAGGCTTCACAGCCCCCAGAAAGGAGAGTGACATACAAGTCTGAGCAGTAGTTTGGCAGAGAATGTGGCTTTCCCAGAAAAGAACAAGGGTTTGCCTGGCCAGTGTGGCTCAGTTGTGGGAGTGTCAGCCTGTACACCGAAAAGTTGCTGGTTCAGTTTCCAGTCAGTGCACATACCCAGGTTGTGGGTTCAATCCCCAGTTGGGGTGCAAATGGGAGGCAACCAATCTATGTATGTCTCTCCCATCGATGTTTCTCTCTCTCTCTCGCCCCCTCTCCCTTCCTCTCTCTCTAAAATCAATAATAACAATAAAAAAATATCCTTGGGTGAGGACTGAAAAAAAAGAAGAGGAAGGCCTGCTAGAGACCATTGCTTCCAAAGAGCTTTGTTCCTTTACAAAATCTCTTCACAGTTCTCTGCTCTTTGGAGACTCACCGCAGTATGGAGGTTTGCAGCAGGGAATGTGGGGGCAGGAGGGTTAACAGGACAGAGGACACTGACCAGGTGACTCGGCTGGTCACTGGCACACGCAAAGCCTGGGCCCTGTTTTCTGGACTCTTTGTCCAGTGCTCTCTTACATTTCGCACATTAATCCTCAAGTACACCACCCTTTGTGATGGGGGACATTCACAGATGAGCAGACCCAGTAGCCTGTCCCCGGGGCCTTGAGCCTGGGGTGGGGAAGAAGCCCCTCACACGAGGACCAGGACATGTGCAAAGGCTGTCAGAGGAGTGGTAAGGAATGAAGCAGCCATTTACAGTGTGGGGGTGGGGCCAAGGGCAGGCTTTCTGGAGGTGCTGTCACTTCCAGAAAGCCAGGTGAGCTAGGACTCAGCTAGGATGACGATAGCATATAGCTAGCTGCATTTTGGGGAACGCCGCCTGGTGTTGTGTGGGGTCCTATAAAAGGGTCTGACAACCCTGGCCAGTTTGGCTCCGCGGTTAGAGCGTCAGCCTGAGGATCTTGAAGGGTCATAGGTTCTATTCCCAGTCAAGGGCATGTACTTGGGTTGTAGGTTCAATACCTGACCCTGGTCAGGGTTGTGCTGAAAGCAACCAGTCAATGTGTCTCTCTCACATCGATGCTTCTCTCTCTCTCTCTCTCTCTCTCTCTCTCTTTCTCTCTCTCTCTCTCTCCCCCCCCTTCCTCCCTCCCTTCTACTCTATCTAAAAAATCAATGGAAAAATATCTTTGGGTGAGGCTTAACAAAAAAATAAGTGAATTGAAAATAAATCAATAAATAAAGCTCTGATAGATTGTAGTTGTCCACATTTTACAGATAAAGCAACTGAGGCCCCAAAAGAGGTAAAGTTTGAGCGGAGCTGCTACCCTAGGTCTATCTGTTTGGGGCCTGCTGCGCTCTGTGGCAGGTCCAAATCTCAGGCTCAATGGTTTGGACTTTACTCTGTGGTCATCAGGAGCCATTGAAGTAGACACACCTCCTCTGTCACCCTTCCTCCCTGCCACTAACCCGGGACCAGGATGGTCCTGGCCCTTTTCTCCCGCTACCACCCTGCCCCAACCAGGGGTCTCCCACACTGACCACCCTCCTATGCCCTCAGGCCCATGAGAGATGGAGCGGCTGTGTCCAGGATGAAGCTCCAGGTCTGGGAGGCACTGACCAGCCTGGGCTCCGCACTACCCTGCAGTTCCCTCAGCAGCTACAAGCTTCCCTGGGTGACAGGTAGGTGGGCACTGAAGGTCGGGGGCTGGGCTGGGTCAAGGCTTCCCATTCGGCTCTGCGCCTGACCTGGAGTCCCCTGCAGTCTCCCACCACGACCCGGAGATCCCCTTCAACCACAGCTTCATTGAGCCACCCTCTGCTGGCTGGGCCTCGGACGACTCTTTCTCTTCTGATTCCGAGTCTGGAGAGGAGGACGAGGGTTCTACCTACTGTGTGCCGTCCCAAGAAGGTAGGCCCCCAACAGCCCACTGGGGTGTCCTGCTTAATGACTGGGAATCCTTCTGATCCCTTTGTCCTACAGATATAAGCATTCCCTATGTTGTACTACTTCTATAGAGTATACAGACTTTTATCGTGGTATATAAAATGGAGACAAGATAGGTTCCCGTCTTTACTAAGCTTTTAGTCTGGTGGCTAGTAATCAGACATTTGCAGGACAGAGCGATAAGTGCTTTGATGGGGGATGTACAAGACGGGGCTATAATTTAGCCATGTCAGGGGAGACTGGGGTCAGGGAAGATGTCTCGGTGTTAGTGATATTGGAGTTGAGTCTAGCAGAATCAGGAGTTAGCCAAGTGAAAGTTAGGAGAGGTGGGAATGGTGTTTCAGGAAGAGGGATCAGTGTACACGAAGGCTCAGAGGTGAGAGGGACATGACTGTGGCATTGAAGAGTTTTTGCTTAGTTAGAGGGTAGTATTGGGTCAAAGTAAGCAGGGAGGTAACAAGAGTATAGAATTAGTAGTGTCTATTGGATAGGCCCTGTTCCTGCCTCTTTGCGTCCTTACCCTCTACCTTGCCCTGTTTTGAGGCCTCCCAAAAGATGCTGACCTGGGTAGACAGGATGGGTTGGGGTGGTCAGCTCAGCTTTGGCCAAGTTCTTCTGTCTCTTCTGCCAGGGAGGGTCCCTGTGGCCCAAGTGGAGTTGCCAGAGGCCAGCCTGGTTGGAGGTCCCTTCCCTTCCCCTGAGGATGCCTCCACACCATTCGCCATCCCACGCACTTCCAGCCTAGCACGGGCCAAGCGACCATCGGTCTCCTTTGCTGAAGGCACCAAGTTTGCACCGCAGAGTTGCCAAAGCTCAGGGGAGCTGTCCAGCCCACCCCGAAAGCCCAAACGACTTTCCCGAGGGGCCCAGCCAGGTCCTGAAAGCCAGGAGGCTGAGGAGTCCACAGGCCCTGAGCAAGAAAAGGACATGGCTCCTCCTGGGGCACCCAGCCCCAGGGATTCAGCCATTGGCCATCGCCAGCTCCCCCCTGGAGGCCAGACAGTGGCTGAGCGTGTGGAAGCCATTGAAGCCAGTGTTCAGGAGAGCTCAGGCTCTGTTATCACAATCTACATGCTGGCAGGGACACCCCGGAAACCTGAGGGTTCAGTCCAGTCTGTACTCCGCCGTTTTAGTAAGTTCCAGAAAGGCCAGGCAGAGCACAAGGTCAAGAGTGCCATCCCCAAACCTCCACGTCAGTCACTGAGTCGGAACAAGGGCAACCCCCAGCTGGCCTCTGGCTCTTCCAGGCAGAGCCCTGGCTCAGCCCCGAGTGAGGAGCTCACTGGGGCCTTGCAGACGGCAGGGACTGGGCCAGAGGAAGTGGCCAGGGGGATGAGGGATGGCACCAAGAGCTCAGGGAGGGTCCAGGAGCTGGCCCCCAGTGGCCCCCCAGAACAGGATCCCCAGAAGCTGGCTGATGAGGAATGGCTGGAGGAGCCCCAGTATGAGAATTTTACACCCATCTCTGGGCCACCACAGCCTTGAGGACCATGAATTGGGGTGTGGGAAGACTATGGATGGGGTTAGTCATCACACTGCCCTTGCATCACACTGTGTTTTGTGCAGGGCCAGGAAAGATCTACCAGAATCTCTGCCCTTCCATGGGGAATCGTCTGAGATAGGGGCCAGATGGCTTTGGGCCCTGGCAGTGTTCCAGGGATGGTCTGGAAGGCCTGGGCAGCGACCCCATGGGATGGGTTCAGGAAGGGGAATGAGATGGCTGTAGGGACTTTTTCTCTGTTGTCCTGGATTCTGTTTACCCCAAAAGGCTATTTTTTCTTTCATTTGAAAAAATTTGGTTTTTTTTGAAATGGGAAACAACCTAAATGTTTGATGATAAAAGACTGTTTAAAATTATTATTTTTAGCCCTGGCCGGTTTGGCTCAGTGATTAGAGCATCAGCCTGCGGTCCAGAGACACCCAGGTTCAGATCCCGCTAAGGGTGCCTACCTCGGTTGCAGTTTGTCCCCGGCCCTGGTTGGTCGTGTGGGTGGCAGCCCCTCGATGTGTCCCTTTCACGTCAATGTTTCTCTCTCTCTCTCTTTCTTCTTCTCTCTCCCTCCTACTCTATCTGAACAAAAAATGGAAAAATGTCCTCAGGTGAGGATAAAATATATATATGTGTGTGTGTGTGTATACACACACACACACACACACACACACATACATATATATATATATATTTTAAATGACAGGTTCCTAAACAACCACAAAAAATGATGTTGTGTAAGAATACCCAATATGAGAGAGATGGGAGCATGTTCATGCTATATTGTTAAGTATAAAACTAAGTTTCCTTTTTATAAATTTCATTTCTTTTTGCTTCAGGATACATGTTTAGAATTCTTTAGTTTGTGTATATCTTGTGATTGTTTTACAAACATTTGTGTGTGCATAAAGATTCGAGGGAAAGGCATCAAATAGCATTTTTCTCTGGGAGATGAGATTGATATCTTATTTTTATTATATTTTTTAACATAAAAAAAAAAAAGATTTTAGAGAGAGAAAGGGAGGGAGAGAGAAACATCAGTGTGAGAGTGAAACATTGATTGGTTGCCTCCTACATGGTGCCCTGACAGGGAATTGAACCTGCCACCTTTTGGTGCATGGGAAGACTCTCCAACCAACTGAGCCACACTGGTCAGGGCTTATTTTCTTTTTAAACTTTTATATAATTTGCAAATTTTCTACCATGAACATTCTTTTTACTTTTCTCACTAGATTGAATTAAAAACAAAAAAGCAATGTTCTTTGTTAAAAATAAATAGAACTAACATTACAGACATGTATGAAGTAAAAATGATATTTCCCTTCTCCCCAGAGGAGTCTGGGGGACCAGAGAGGGGCCAGATTTACTTTCCACTGAATGCCTTTTGGTCTTGTTCTGAATCTTTCCTCACATACTTGTATTACCTAGTCAGGAAATAAGGAGCAGCTTCCCCTCCTATCCCAGTGCTCAAAGAATCTCATGAACAGTTTAGATGCTTCCTTTCAAATGTTTTTCTGTGCACATAAAAACAAAAGAGCATACTGTTCTGCAATCTGCTCTTTTACTTATATCCTGGGTATCTTTTGGTGTCAGTAAATACAAAACTACCCCTTTTTATAAAAAATGGCTACATGGGATTCCATCATGTGGAAAAACACAGATTACTTAAACGATGCCCTACCACTGGGGATTTGGGTTGTTTCTAATGGTGTGATATACAATAAATGTTGTAGTGTACAACTTTGTCCATATTTCTTTTCATATTTGTGAAAGTTTTTCTGTAGAACAGATTCCTGGGAGTGGAATGGCTGGGTTATGGAGTAAGAACATTAAACACGTGTCTACTTCAAATTGCCCTCCAAAAAAGTGGTATGGTTTTGTATTCTCACAAATTATGGCAGTATCTATTTTCTCACACCCAATCTGATCAATTTAAAATGGTATCTTGCCCTGGCCAGTTTGGCTTAGAGGTTAGAGCATTGGCCCTTGGACCAATGAATCTTGGGTTTGATTCCAGTCAAGGGCACGTACCTCGGTTGTGGTTCATCCCCAGCCCTGGTTGGGTCATGCGAGAGGCAACCAGTCGATGTGTCTCTCTCAGATTGATGTTTCTCTCTCTCTTTCTCTCCCTTTCTTCCACTCTATCTGATGATAAATAGAAAAATTTAATAAATAAATAAAAACTTTTTTTAAGTTTAAAAATTTGATCAGATAAACATTTTTTATTTTTAAAATGTTTTTATTGATTTCTAGAAAGAGAGGGAGAGACAGAAACATGGATGAGAGAAACATCTGGTTCACTGCCTCCTGCACGCCCCCTATTGGGGATTGAATGGAGCCTGCAACCCAGGCATGTGCCCCGACTGGGAATGGAACCAGTGACCTCTTGTTTCATGGGTTGGCACTTGACCACTGAGCAGGACTATTTTGCTTTTTAATCATTAAAAAAGAAAAGGTATGCGCTGGCCGGTTTGGCTCAGCAGTTAGATCGTCGGCCCGCGGACCAGTGAGTCGCGGGTTCGATTCTGGTCAAGGGTATGTACCTTGGTTGCAGTTGGTCCCCAGCTCTGGATGGGATCATGTGGGAGGCAACCAGCCAATGTGTCCCTCTCATGTGGATGTTTCTCTTGCCCTCCCTCCCTCTCTATCTGGAGATAAATAGAAAAATATCCTTGGGTGAAGATGAAAAAAAAGTGGTATCATTAAAATCTGAATTTTAATGAGTATTCTAAGATTGAGATTCTGTCTAACTCTTTAATAGTCTTTGTATTTTTCCTATAGATTATCTGGTTATTTTCTTTCCCCAATTTTCATTTGAGGTATTCATCTTTTTCTCATTGATTTATATATTTCAAGGATATTTATATATTTCAAGATATATAACGCAATCAGTAAAAAAAGATAATGGAAAGTATTGCTGGGAGTGGTTAGGGAAGAACTGCTGAAGGAACTGTCCAAAAAGGGATGCTGAGGTTCAGAAAGGTGAGAGAACAGCATGTGCAAGAACCACAAACAATTCCGTATTATTGGAGTTTCTAGGACCAGGCAGGTCAGCTTCCAGGGGGAGAAAGAGACTGGTGGAGAGGAAGGAGCCTGTGTGGGTCAGGTTGGAAAACTTGAACTTTATCCTGAAGGACAAATGGTAAAGAGTTTCTGACTTGCCCTGGCCTGTTTGGCTCAGCGGTTAGAGCATGGCCTATGGACCAGAGAGTCCCAGGTTCCCTCTGCTAAGGGCACAGACCTCGGTTGCAGTTTGACCCCGCCCCTGTTGGGGTCGTGTGGGTGGCAACCGGTTGATGTGTCTCTCTCACATTGATGTTTCTCTCTCTCTCTCTTCCCCCCTCTCTCCCTCCTGCTCTGTCTCTCTCACATTGATGTTTTTCTCTCTCTCTCTTCCCCCCTCTCTCCCTCCTGCTCTATCTGAAGATAAGTGCCAAAATTGTCCTCGAGTGAGGATTAAAAAAAAAAGTTTCTGACTAATTTTAGCAGACGTCAGATTTACATTTTCCATAGCTCAATGGGATGGGGCGGGGTGCAGAGACGGATTTCAGGGGCAGAGATCTGAGGCTGGTTGAAACAGTTGGAGTCCTAGGAATACAGACAGGAAAATTAGGAAATGCGGCTGTAATGGTGGGCTGGGGTGGGGAGAAGAGGGAAAATAACAGCTGGTGTTGAAAGGGTGGTTCATGGTCTCTAACTTCAGTAGATAGTGGTGCTATTATCTGAGAAAGAATGGGAGGAACAGTTTTGGAGGGAAAAGTAAATTATTTTAGAGATGTGTTTGAAACAGTTTAGAAATGTGTATGGGAACAGCTGCCTGGAGACGGCCCTCATGTAGGTGATCCTAAGAGGATAGAGGGAGGGGCTGAAGTTTAAGTGGCAGTCGCAGTCTTGTAAGTGGGTGAAATTCTGCATTGTGGGATAGATAACCAGCAAGGATCCCCCAAGCCGACAGCTGCAGGCGCGGCGGGTTCACGGGCGGCAGGCGGCGCTCTCGGACTGGGGGACATGAACAGAAAGCTGCTGGGGCTCCCACAGCCCTGGGATAAACCAGTTGGAAGAGCGTGCTGGAAGACCAAGCTGAATATGGAGAAGACCGAGAGTCCTCTGAGGTCAGGCTAGTGCCTCGGATCAGAGATACGAAGCCGGGCAGCGGAACCTCCGGAGCCTGGGCTCCGTACTCCTGCCCCGGCAGTTCTTCCAGGCAGGTCCAGCTCGCTTACCAGACTGAGAGCTGGGGCCCTCCCGACTCCACGCATTCTCCCAGAGGCTTGACTTGTCTTTGCAGCGTGGCGCTGCCCACCAAGTCACCCTGAAGAGGGCCCCCTGAGGGAGACGTCCGGGAATGGGGTGAAAATGGAGCAGGACAGTGGGTATGGGATGGTGAACTTGGGCACAGTTCCTGAGGGGGCCAAAGGGAGTGGGTCAGAGTCTGGATGGGGCAACAGGAGAGACACCGTGCTAGGGGAGACACCATGCTAGGGCACAGACAAGCCCCAAACTCCCACCTGGGGATCCCCGAGGGACACCTTCCAGGGACCAGGCAGATGGCACCCAGGAGCTGGGTCGGTGAATTAGGAGGGAAGGGAAGAGGCAAACAGGGGTTGGGAGATCCGGAATGGGTACACATTGCCGGGATGGGGGGACACTGGGAGCAGGTGAGTGAGGAACCAGAATGGCAGGGTTGCGTGGGGAGGAGGCAGTGGGGGCGGCCGGAGTGGAACGACCCAGGGAGCCAGAGCATCGAGGCGTCGTGCTCAGGGCAGAGTTCGGGAAGCTGGGGACTCTGTAGCCGGCCGGAGGAGAGCGGAGTTCAGAAGCCGAGCAGGTGCGCGAGGGGGACGGGAGTGCAGCTGGGGAAGTCTGGGGTCGCCTGTAGGCCGGGCCCGATTTCGGGTGGGGCTCCGGAGAGGCGATAGGACAACACCTCCAGGGGTTTCCAGCCCCGCTGTGGCTCCACTTTGAGGTGGCAGAGCGGAGGGTCGGCCCACCCCTACCCCCGGCACCCCCAGTTTTCTTGTTTGTCTCCCAGTCCGGCCGGAACCGGCTTCTGCTCGCCGCCGGGCGGGCGGGTGCCTGCTGATTGGCCGACGCCTGTTTCCAGCCCCACTCAGCCAATCAGCGTGCAGCAGTGTTTTCATCTTGGGGTCCTAATAAAAGGGCTGGAATAAAAGGGGACAGAAAAGGCGCCGGCCGGGCCCGACACACATCAGTAGGAGCCGGGTGAGCTGGGTCCTGGGAATCTGGGCCTCGGGGGAGGGTGCTGGGGACCGAAGGCTCATGAGTTGGGGTGTAAGGAAAAGATGTGTGAATATGAGAGGAAAGAGATTAGATGGATAAGGAGCCGCCAGAAGACATGACGAATTTAGAAAGAGCAAGGAAACCGAGGGACGTTGATCCGTTTCCATCGAAACGGGCAAATTACTGGGGACACAGCCCAGGATGGGGGTAGCGCAGGTGGCTCGCGCCGCCGGTTTGAACCGGCTTCGCCTCTCCCATGCGGGGTTCGCGTGGCAGCAGCGCCTAGCGACCTAGAGAACGGCCAATGGTGCGGCAGTTCCTGTGCCGTCAGGCCAATCAGCGAGCCGTGGGCGGACCGTGCCGGCCGTGCGCTGATCTTCTGGTTGAAGGAACCAGCTCTGGGGTAGGGTCTCCATTGCGGGCGGGAGGGCGCCTGTCAGGGTACGAGGGAGTGGCCGGTCTCAGGTACGCCCCTGCCCAGGTGTCCGGACCTCAGGCTGCCATCCCCGAAGACCCCCCAAGCTATGTCAATCATTCTGGGAGCCAGGACTAAGTCCATATCCCTAAGAAGGTGTTAGTCCCTTCCTGCTAGCATACCTCAGTTTACCTCTGAGCAAGCAGAGGAGAGGTCTCCCTGCCTGGCCCGAGCGGTTCTCCCGTCGCCGAGGGCAGCCGTACAAGTCAGCCGCGGTGGGTGGCCCAGGTCCCGGGCAAGGCTGGGGCTTCCTTCGCTGCGCGCACCTGCTCTCCAGGCCGCCGGGGGCTGACAAGCTCCGCGCTGCTACAGCGGCCGAGCTTGGCCGCACCGACTGGTCAGGACCCCGCGCTGACCCCGAGGTCTGTGCGCAGGTGGCTGCAGAGCCGGAGCCGGGCCACCTCGCCGCGTCATGGCGCCCACCCTGGCCACTGCTCATCGGCGCCGCTGGTGGATGGCCTGCACCGCGGTGTTGGAAAACCTCCTCTTCTCGGCAGTCCTCCTGGGCTGGGGCTCGCTGCTCATCATGCTCAAGTCGGAGGGCTTTTACTCCTACCTGTGTACTGAGCCAGGTGAGACGGGCGCATCGTACTTGGTGCGGGCGGTTCCTGGGGTGGGGGCTTTTGGATACGGTGAAATGGCGGAACAGCCAAGCCAGCAATACTACCTCCCTGCGCAGCGCCTCCCAGTTAGCAAAAGGCTTGTTTGATCTTCACTCAGATCTGCGGGGTACATATCATTGTCCCAGTTTTGTGGATTTAGAGACTGAGGCTCAGACAGATCTTTTGACTTGTCCAAGGCCACACAGCTGAGGACTGCAATAGATCCAGAACCCTTGAGTCCAGGGTGTTCTTTCCACCATCTGGGAACGTGGCTGGACACCTCTCCTCCCAGGGCCTAGCACATCACTTGTCTTGCATTAAGCATGTCACTCCCAGACTGTAGAAAAAGGAACTCCTGATTCAGTGGTTGGGGTGTAACAAGAGAGACAGGAAGTGGCTTGGCCTCCACCCCATGGAAGGTTCATCTAGAATCTAGATGTTTTTTAATCAGATCATTAGGGAGTCTCTTAAGGGCTTCTCAGATACAATTTCTTGTCTGTATTTGCTGCTTTGTGATTTTCCAACGGACATTGCCTCCCACAGAGAACATCTCAGTGGCCTGCTACCTATATGGGGTGGGGTTGGGGACCAAGAGGGGTATTTATAGAAATGACACCAGATCTCTCCTTACCTTTGCCACACCATTGGTTTTGCTGAATGCGGACTGACGATGCTGGTCTACAGGAAATCTAACCCCCATTTCTACCTTCATACTACCCAACCCCATTGGAAGGTCCTAATTGTTGTACATCAATAGGTTCAGCCCAACAGTGGAACTCTGGTGGCTCCCAACTTTTACCTTCCTTCTTCCTTCCCAGGCAGTCTTGATAGGAAACATTTCCCTCTGCCCTCTGGCTGTCTCCAACAGTTCAACCTAGTAGTTGAACTCACTCATGCTTTTCCCTAGTGCCTTTAAAGCCAGCCCCTGCCTGAGTCCCTTTAGACTCAGGAAGGTTCTCAACCTTCCTAATGCCACGACCCTTTAATACAGTTCCTCGTGTTGCAGTGACCCCCAACCATAAAATTATTTTCGTTGCTACTTCATAACTGTAATTTGCTACTGTTATGTCTTAGGTGACCCCTGTGAAAGGGTTGTTCGACCCCCAAAGGGGTTGTGACCCACAGTTTGAGAACCGGTGCTTTAGAGGGAGATAGCCCATGCTTGACCCCCTGATCACACCACCAGCATACTTTTTGGGGGAAGAAAAAGTTTTGAACCAGTTCATGCTGCCTATAATCCCATGTAGAGTCCTCCCTGCTTTTCTTCTCTGATCCTCCCAGGATATTCCTGAGTGCTCCAGCCTCTAGGAGAGCCTAGTTCTGAGGTTAAGGGCAGGAGAAAGGGAGGGGATCTACAGGCTCCTGGGAGAGGCCAGAGAGTTTATCATTTAGAACCTTTAGCCTTTAGCCACTCAGAAATATTTCCTGATAGCCTAAGGGTTCTTGGCAGAGTTTTCCCCAGGTCAGCAAGAAATCTTGGGAGATGGGAAAGTCACTCAGACCTTGTTCCTTACACAAGCTTTCTATTTTGCCCAAGAAATGTTAGATTAATGACTCTGGAAGGAACAGGTTGGAGTATTTGGCTCCTCCTCTCCCTCCCTCTCTCCTCCCTTTTAGATCATGACTCTTCCTGCCTGCTTCTCTGGGCTCTCTCAGACTAAACAGAAAGTTTTTTCTTTCTTTTTTTTTTTTATTTCTCACCCAAGGATATTTTTCTGTTTCTTGTCAGATAGAGTGGGAGGGAGAGAGAGAGAGAGACAGAGAGAGAGAGAGAGAGACAGAGAGAAACATCAACGTGATAGAGCAACATGAACTGGTTGCCTCCCGCAGGACCCGACCAGGGCCAGGGACGAACTGCAGCCGAGGTTCATGCCCTTGACCGGAATCGAACCCGGTCCATAGGCCGACGCTCTAATAACCACTGAGCCCAACCAGCCAGGGCACCACACAGAAAGTTTTAAAAACAGAAGGAAACATTGTCACCCCCAGATGAAGCTTTTAGCATCTTATCCACACTAGAGTACTGCTGTATTCAAATTTTTTTTAACCCACTTGGTATTGGAAGGTCAGATCCTAGGGTTCTTTCCCAGTGTCCACTGATTTAATTTATTTTATGATATCAGCAGCATTGGGGCTGATCACTTCATTCCTGCCTCAACCTTGGCTGCTTCCTTCGTTTAAGTGGGAGGAGTCCCAGAGATTGTGCCAACCCAGTGCTGAGTTGGTATTTAAGCCTTTAAGGCTTGACTGGTCCCCCTTGTAACCCAAAGTGAAGGTGAAGGGTCAGGGTGTGGGTTGAACATCAACTTCTTATCCCATGCCTTTGCTGCTGCCTCTGATTTTGGTTTTTCTGACTCTGGGCAATCCACTGACTCAGCATCAGGCCTGCTGATTCTACACAGCTTATCTCTCTGGCCTCCCTGTTCCTGGCTTCTTGGAGTCCAAGTAGCCTGTTGCCTTTCAGGGCCAGGATCCTCCATGCCTCGCCTGACTGGGAGTGCCTGGAGGATTTAGGGTCAAGGTTTCTGCTGAGGTCTAATATTTTCAAACTTGGTGGATGGCTGAATTGCAGAGGAGCAGTTAAGCCATTTATTGAATTTATTGAATTAGACTTGTGAAAAGCTAACCAGCCTACAGCTGATTGAGATGCAAATTTGTCAGCTTTTTGTTGCTTTTAGTACTGATGCTTTGGTTTGTCCTGTAAAGAAACTTTGCCTGAACCTGTTGAAAGGTTCTCAGAATTCTTTCTTGGGACTCCAGCCAGAATCAGCCACAGACACAGTGCTGGGTTCCAGCTCGGTGAGGTGGGAGAAGAAAAGAAAGAGCCCCTTTCTCTGTTGCTGCTTAGTTCTTTTTGCCCTGCCTGCTGGACAGTCAGGATTGATGATAGGGGCTGGGGCTGGTCATTTCGGCTTTTCCTCCCCAGTCCGGTCCCCCTGGTGTGGGCAGGAGATCAACTGGGTTCCCAGCCCAAGAAGAATGGGGCTTTTCCAGTACTGTGTCTTTTTGGCATCTGGGTGGCCACTATAACCACCTACACCTGGCCTCTTTCTTCATCTTCTCTGCCATCCAGTGGCCCGCTTCAGCAGGATCAGATTCGTTGGGGGGGCGGGGGGGTGCTGCCTGTGGATATTTCATCTCCTTTTTCATCTAATCTATACTTTAAGTAAACATTTTTGAGGTGCTGTCCTGGGGTGCAGAGCAATCCTGGTCCTCAGGGTATCTGCAGTCTGCCAGCATCAAACAAGTCACCACACACAGACCTATATAATTTCTTTCTTTTCTTTTTTTATCCTTACCCGAGGACACTTTTTTTTTTTTTTGCATTTATCTTCAGATAGAGTGAGAGGGAGAGGGAGGGAGGAAGAGAGAGAGAGAAACATGGATGCAAGAGAGACACATCAAGTGGTTGCCACCCACGTGACCCCAAGCAGGGCCAGGAACAAACTGCAACTGAGGTACGTGCCCTTAGTGGGAACCAAACTTGGGCCTCTGGTCCGCAGGCTGATGCTCTAACCCCTGAGCCAAACTGGCCAGGGCAGACCTATATAATTTCAAGTGGTAGTCAGGACGCCAAGGGATAGCAGGGTGCTGGGACTGAGAGTGACAGTGGGGATCGATTCAACTTGGGTGGGAGGGCTTCTCTGATGTTTAGGCAGAAGTGTGGAGGGTGAGGAAGGGTGAGTCAGCAGAGAAGGAGCCTGGAAGGAAGGCTGCATACTGGAGAAGAGGAGAGAAAGAGCTGAAGGTGAAAAGTCTGGGCCTGCAGGTTGGGCTGCTTAGGGAAAATGGATTTTATTCCCAAGGCAAGAAGTGACGGAGGCAGAAGAGGGTGATCAGTTTCACCTCTTAGACTCTTGTGAATTGTTGGGGGCTTGCCACGTGCTGGGTGGGGTGGGGGCTATGAAGGTGAGAGACATGGCCTCTGCCTGAGGAAGTCATAGTCCAGCCCAGCCACAGACACTAAGATAGACCCTAGGTCTGTGCTCTTGATCACTGCAGTCACTCTACCTGTGGTATGGGGGGAGAGCCATACCCCTCACTGAAACAGCAGGAAACTGTTTTGAGAGGGCAGAGGGGAAGCAGGACCAGGCCAGGTCCCCACAAGGCTGAGTAGAGGCTGCAGATGTGGACAGGAGACATTCCCTGTGGCTTCGAGGTCCTCCCCCTTTTTTAAAAAATTGAATGTACTGGAGTGATATTGGTTAATAAAATTTTATAGGTTTCAGGTGTACAATTCTATAATACTTCATCTGTATATTGTATTGTGTGTTTACCATCCCAAGTCAAGTCTTCTTCCCTCAGCATTTATCCCCCTTAACCCTCTTTTGCCTCCTCCAACCCCCTTTCCCTCTGGTAATCACCATACTGTTGTCTGTATCTATGAGTTTTTTTTTGTTTTTGCTTAATCCCTTCACCTCTTTCACCCAGCCTCCAACCCCCTCCCTTCTGACAGCTGTCAGTTTGTTCTCTGTATCTATGAGTCTGTTTCTATTTTGTTTATTAGTTTTTTGTTTTGTTTTGTTTTTAATTTTTTTTCTTTATTGATTTTAGAGAGAGAGGTAGGGAGAGGGAGAGAGATAGAAACATCGATGAGAGAGAACATCGATTGGCCCCCTCCTGCATGCCCCCCATTGGGGACTGGCCTACAACCTGGGCATGTGCCCTGCCTGGGAATCGAACCGGTGACCTCTTGATACATGGGTTGACGCTCAAACACTGAGCCACACCGGCCAGGCTTGTTTGTTATTTTGTTCATTAGATTCCATAAATAAATCAAATCATATGGTACTTGTCTTTCTCTAACTGGCTTATTTCACTTAGCATAGTACCCACCAGGTCCATCCATGCTGTTGCAGAGGGTAAGCTCTCTTTTCGATGGCCAAGGAGTATTCCATTGTGTAAATGTATCACAGCTTTTTGTTTATTCCTTACCTGAGGATATTTTTTTTCCATTTATCATCAGACAG